TAAACTACGAAACATTTGAACATACTTCAAAAAGTAAATTAGTTTAAGGAAAAAAATGATAAATGAATGAATTCAATTGAAATTTGAATGAAAACATGAAGTTGGTTTTCCTTTGAAAAAAAAACAAACAAACAAACAACCAACCAATCAGAAAAATATTCGGCTAAATTATGGGAAAACATGGTTTTAGATTCTTTTTTAAAATTTTGTTATGAGAATTCATGAGTGAAAGCATTTTTTCATATTAATTATATTTTTTGAATATTATATAATACATGATCAAGTCAATTGTATATAAAGCAATGATTCGAAAATTTTTGTTGATGATGAAACCATTATACTGGTCAATATAAAGTAAAGTATGATCATATTAACTTTTATATCAGATTGAAAATTTTTCCCAACAGTAATTATATATTTTTAATAGTTGAATTCATTAGTCGACTAAAGTTAAACCACCTTGGAAAACTTGAAAGTATTGAAAGGCCGGATCATTCTAGTATGGGATTTCTCAGCAGTGCACATTCACCATCCTGAATGCGGAACTCGAACTCAGGACCTTCTGTCTCACGTACAAAAACTTTACTTCTACACCACTGAGCCGGCATCCAACGGTGTTAATATTCAACGTTAACCAATCTACAATATTGTGCGACCGTTTATCATTGCTTTCGGTGAGTAACTGCCTCTACAATAGATATGGATGAACTCCATTGCTCACGGTTTTCCACCACATCTCTAGGAAATACCTCTTGAAGTCATTCACTAGTAAGCAAATGATGATTATTATCAGAATGAGTATTTGTAGATATTATATTAATCTTTAATAGTTGAATTCATGATTTAATTAAGGCTAGAGCATGTTCATAATTGATGAGAACAATTTTGACGTAAGGAGAGACCAAAATGATTAACAGAACACAATGAATACATTGTATCTTAGTTAACACTGTTTTCAGCTACATAGAAACTATTAAATTTTGGTTAGGAATAACAATGTAAATTGAAATTTTAAGAAATAACTTATCTATTAATAAGGAATTTTATTTGGAATGTAAATGAAGTCAAGAATTGAAGTTTTCAAAGGCTTTTCATAAGTGTTTGGAGAGACTTTTTTAGTTTAAGATCACAAAACCGTTGTAGTCACTGAGAAGTAGATAGGTATGTTTATCCTCAATCAAACATTCCGATGTCTGTCTTTTTATCTTTCTAATGTGTATTCATTATCAATAACATGTGAGATAGATTAAACACTTCGATGATGTAATTGCTAAAAGTTTATGATACATCTAGAGGAACATTATCAAGAGTCACTTAAGATAATTCTGAAATCAGAAAATATATGGAGCATATTGTAAATCAAAAGAGTAACTCTGACGGAAATAGATATCTCTTAAAGTATTTTATGATACAAAAAATCTTTATGAATATGTCCAAACAATTCTGTATTGTATTTTTAATGCATTATTCTTTACTTGAATTATTAGCTACTATAATAGAAGCTGATTAGTATATGTACTTATCATCCCGAAATTGTAAGTTATATAAATTACTCATGAAAGCATTTAGTTCCATTAATAGAATGAACGAATGTATGTTTCATATGAAATACTATTGTTGACTACATTTTTATTATGATTTTCTCATTTCCATAATGTGAATGATATCTGTATTTTTCTGTAAAATTATATCTTCTTTTTATACCGAATAATTCTCTATAACCTATTGACTATGACCAATGTCATTAAATAAACGAAATATTTTTAAATCTAAGCAAGAAACAAATACCTGGCAAAGATATCATTGTACTTATACAACCACACTGCAAGCTGACCCTAATTGTTTCAAAGCAGATTCGATGAAATTACCCATTTTTTTGTTCATATTTGTATTATATTTAGCGGAAGAGAAGTACATGTCAACAACCAAATAAGTATAGACAGAAAAAGGAATTCACATTATAAAACTAACATTGGTAATTCTAGACAGCATATATTTGATTGCCAGTTATTTTTTATAATTTTGTATTTTTTTTTCTATTATATTATCTTGAGGCAAATTTATAAACATTTCAAACGTTTTACCAACAAAACAAACAAAAAGACAATTTGTATTTATTCCCTATATCGTAAACACTTATCTCGGTATTACACAACGTATAATTTCCATCCTACTTTTTTCAAGAAAAATACAAAGGGGTGTGTTACTGAGATCGATTAAAAGATATATATATATATATATATATATATATATATATATATATATATATGTGTATTATCCAGTTGAAGAGTAATCCTTTTAACTTCAATAATATAGAGTACGAACATACACAGTTGATTAAGTACTTTCATTATTTAGATTCATATCATAATAATAACTTATACTTTGTGAATTTATCCAGATTAGTAAAGCAACGAAGTTGTTTATGTATAGAAGGTTTTATAGTACGACTTTTTAGTGATTAATCAATAGAAATAATAAAATAAACGAATGAATAATGTTTTTTTTCAAGAAAGATATTTGGTTCCATGATACCATGTAAATTTGCAAAATGTAATGTAAAAGTAATAATAATACCCATAGACATATGAAGTTCTCAAAAATTCTTTCTTAAATAACATTATTTCGAATGGACATTATTATACCTGCATATTATTTGTTGTGATCAGTGTTTCACTTTCAGAGTTTCACATATGCAAATCAATTTTAAACCATTAAATCTAATTTATATTTTGAATCATATTTCTATCATCTGATAAAATTTTCTTACTTATTTTCAACTAAATAAAGCTAGAACGAACAGGGATGCAGAATAATATGGATTCTTTATATTTCGTGGTTTCTCATCAGCTGCTTACAACCAAATATGTATTAGAATTTTACATTGAGGTAAGATATAGTGTGAAACAATTGACATAAGTGAATGTAAAGAATTGGAATAAGAAAGGTTATCAATAATAACTACATAAGTGTGTGCAAGAACAGGTCGGAGGTCATTCGGTGTTAAAATCGAAAAAGCATGAGGACTGGGTGATCTAATAACTCAATGACAGATAAGATAAATTGTGTAATAATTTTAGAAGTAATAAAGGGTTTGCACAAGATTACTAGGATTAAAAAAACTGGTACGATGGGTTGCATAATAATTAAACAAGATTTAATGAGTTAATTATTACAAGAATCTTTAATATCCATCCCCAGTTTGATACATGACGTTTTATTCCAAGATTAGTCATCATGTTCATAGCTTCTATAATTTGCACTTCTTTGTATAACCAGTCGAAAGTTCATACTATATGGCAATCACTAATTAAAACTTATTCGTAGCATATATCATGGTATTTCAATGTAAACGTATAATCGATATGATATGCTTAACTTTAATTTCTAAATATTCATTAGTTGACCTAGTAATTTCATTTTGAATGATCAAAATTGTTTCGTAAACAAAACAAACAAATTTCTTTATTAAACTAAAATCATCATTTATTTAAAATTCAATGGAAATATTGTGTTTTTTTCAATATTCTATTTTATGACTGAAATGAATTTTTGCTTTATCTGCTAAAAAACGCGAATTCGTTCCTTGATATTTCAACATAACCGTAGTATGATCATTCATATGATCTAGTTAACTACTTTGCTTATCCAATATTTGTTGCATTCATACTTTTTATTACTAAGTACAAAGTTATTTAATCTCTATTATTTTCGTTCCCGATTACAAATGACTATAGATTGATTCATATATTACTTTAAAACAAATATATATAAATGTCTAGTCCAAAATGCTTTTGATATAAAGCTTTCACATATGCAATTACTTTTTTGATTGTAAAATATTGTTTATTCAATGGTAAAACTTAAGATCTGAAGTAATACTTATGTGTCAACATGTAACACTTTGATTTAGACAATGATATTTTACCAGAAAGGGTTTTGTGGAGATTTTAGAAATTTCACTGGTTTAAATCATGAGTCAATTGAAGCTAGACCACCATGGAAATCCTGGAAGCACTGTACGGCTGTTTCGTTCTAGTATGGGACTCCTCAGCAGTGTGCAACCACGATCCCGCGCACCGCGACATTCGAACTCAAGACCTATCAGTCTATTAATAATTATCTGCTTACTAGTGACCGACTTTAAGAGGCATTTTCTGGAGTTCTAGTGATAAGCGGTGACCAATAGGGTTCACCCAGGTCTGTTGTGAGATAGTAACTCACTGAAGACAATGGTGACGATGGCGCAAATTCGTGGATTGGTTGAAGTTAGACATTAACACCGTTGGATGCCGGCTGGCTCAGTGGTCTAATGGTTGAGCGCTCACGCGCAAGACCGATAGGTTATGGGTTCGAATTTCGCAAGGTGGGATCGTGGCTGCGCACTGCTGAGGAGTCCCGTACTCGGACGAAACGACCGTTCAGTGCTTCCAGGTTTTCCATGGTGGTCTAGCTTCAATTGACTCATGATTTAAATTAATGATATTTTATACATATTTAATACTTACACAGATATTTTTCAAGTAGGACACATTTTATTAAAAATGAACGTGAACATGTGTCTTCAGATGTTATAGGTTTTTATTGTTACGCTAAAATTTCCAAACATTACGATCGAAAATAATCCAATCTATGAGCAATGTGAGAAGTTAATTCGTTGTCTTTCACAATAATGAGTAACCATGTTATTAATTGATTGATCAAATTGTTAAACTTTATCCTTAATCAAAGATTATTGAGTTGTAAATAAGATATGAATGAAACATACTCAATTGTTTCAAAAATCACACTCAAAATAATTAGAGGGTCGGACGTACATTATATTTAAACAATGATTAATTTTTTTTAAAAAATTGTATCAAATGACAAGTATATATCATGTAGTACAAGTTCCTGATCTCACTATTCATTTAGTTTCATAACCAATACACCTCAATAATGAAAGTAGTCAACTAAAAAAGACGTTACATCATTATACATTTAACAGATTTAAAACTTACAATTTATTCTCAATATCCCACATGATAATATGATCTTGAAACATGGAATAATTCATTTTTAAACAGAAAAGTAAAATAAATTTCCACAATAAATCCTTTTTCATTTAGATAATGACGGACATACATAAAATAATTTATCAAATAATATAAACCTAATTGTTTTTTTCCATATTTGTAAATAGAGTAGGGATTGAATAGATTTTCTTTTTATTACCATCAATAAGTGGATAGAAACAGATTCTTAAACTTTGATAGAAAATCATAATCGAAATATTTAATTTTATTCTATCATTATCACTATTATTATTATCACTAGTTGCTAGTTATTATTGCCATTAAACATTCAATGACTAAAGAATGTTAAAATGGTGTTTTTATAATCAATTTATTAGGATAATTCCTTGTTTTTAATTTACCATATTGTTTGTTCAAGGTGAACAAAATAAACCAATCAGTGTAGCTGAAAAATTTTAGTCATAACTTTTAGATTAAATATGATTGGTCAAATTTATGAACAAGCTCAAACGTAAAATCTTTTTGCTTAAACCATGTTATTTCTTGTTGATTCAAAATCTTCTCTATACAACAATTCCTCTAGATTAAGAGATTTTCCAGTCACAGTATACAACTGCATAGAATTTCATTCGTATTGGATGTTTAACTTTATGATAGGAAGAGTTTCACATTGATATTGTTTTATTTGAATCTTCCCATTGATGTTTTTGGACTGAAATTGATCAGTCTCTTATTGGCATATGTGCATACTGTGCGTATGTCTCGATATTGCCTTAATTCAAATAAAACAATATCAAGTGAATTAAACTTCAACCCATTGCACAAGCAAGTGGCTATCAGGACTCAGTAGCTAAGTGGATAACGCGATGGCGTTTGAAGCGAACGGTACTGAGTTCGAGTCTTAGAGTGAACATCAACTCTGAGATGCAGGTACATCCAGCTGACGAGTCCCAAACAGGACGAAACGCGCGTCCTGGATTCCACTGCTAGCCACTATCCATCTTTGCTTATAAGAGTTTCACATTGTTCAGAATAAATATGCTAATTCAGAAATATATGTTTTATTTATAAAAGTGACATGAGAATTATTTTGAATCCCAGTTGAAACCGGTTATTTTATTGTCTAACAAATCAGTCTCTAACAAATGAAACAATCTGAAGATTTATTGAATGCTAAGAAAATAAAACTTCTATAAGATTTTCTAACTTCTTTCCTATAAAACAACTCTAGTTTTACTGTAATATTAAACCAAATACAATAACCCGCTGAATTGAATTGCTGAATTCTGGTTTAAAAATTTACATGTTTTGATGTTTACTTGAAAGTGTTTCAGTCAACCATTGTTAAGATATCAAACAATGTAGTGTGAATAGATACAGTAATAAAACTATTGCAGAAAGTTTCTTAAATTTTACTATTGTAAAAATGTTAAAGAACTATTTTATTCAGCTAATGAATAAGTTACATGATCATAAAGAATTTTGAATATTCTTCAAAAAGATACGATTGATAGATTCAGAAGTTTAATATTGAGTTTGAATAAAGCGTTAATGCGTCGAAGTGACAGTTTTCATATGAAAACATACATAAAGTATTTTCATGAAAAAAAAATAAAGTACAATTTATTCTGTATTATTTAATGATGATCCAAATTTTGATCCAAAAATCATTTTGTATGTTTGTTTAGTATTGCTATTGTGATCGGTTTATTCAGTAAGATATAAACTAATGAATAAACATTACGATAGAAAAAAAATTATTTGAGAAATAATCACTTAATTGATTGTAAAGTGAAATATGATTGTTATCAGTGTTAGTAACAGTTAACTCGTCCTTTATATTTTTGTATGCATGTGTATAGGAAATGTTTAAAAGAAAAACAATTTAGAAAATAAATTCACATGAAGCTAAGATCGTGTAGTGTGAGTTACTATGTAAAGCCTATATAACATATTCTAGCTTCTGGACAGGCCAATTTATCTATTCTTCTTGAGTCAAGTTTTGACCATGTTAATTATTTGATTATCAACCTTGACTGCTTTTATATGAGTGTGTGTGTGTATTTCATCCTACTCATCACATGTTTGTAACGTATTTTTGTGTAACCATAGATATTGATTAACTCTTGAATAGAATTGGTTCACATGCCTTATCTACTGAGTGTTATTTCGCTTCGTTTTGCTCTCTTTTCTTCGTTTCATTTGATGAGATTCTTTGATTATCTGTACAAAATATACATATTCAAACATCCATTCTTGTATTTGACATATTTAATTCTGTTCTACATTAAAGCGGACTAAGTCAATAATAATATACGAGGATTGGCGACATTTATATCTCAATAACAATCATTCATACGATCCAATTACAGTCAGATCCCAGGCCTACTAAATTGATGAGCCCGTCTATAGCATCGTCTGATCTAAATGAAGGACCACTAAACTCTGATCCCTTTTCTAATAAACTCCACACTATTCGAAATCACAATATATTTTATAATAAATTGTGTTTTACTTTAATCGAAATGTCTCACAGTTACATAAGACACATTGTTATATTATGAAAATTCTTTTAGAAACCATTTTAATATTGATAAAGAAATAGAAATATTGTTTTTATACTTATTCTATGATGATGAATGAAATGATAACAAAAATAAATTAATTGTAATGATATAGTCAATGTAATACTGTTTACAGTGATTAGCAATTCCATTTAACTAACGATAGTATTATTAAAGGCTAATACATTTAAGACTTCAATTGATAAATAACATTTCATTCGTATAGACTCAAATGAAATTTAACAGGAATAGACTGTTTGTTTTAAACATTTTTTTCCACAACTAAATAAAGAGTGACTTCATAAGATTTCTCTTAAATTATTAAACAATCTACTTAGTAACCGAACCATTTTGTAATATGCTTATTCGGAGGAAATGACTTAAAGTTTTATTCTGTTTATATAGAATGTACACAACCATTTTTGTTTATTCTTCAGAGGAGTACTTTTTTTGCTAAACTTGTACAACTATTCACATAGTGTTGCTTTACTTGTATCGTCCCATTGTTATTTAGGACAGCAATTGATCAGTCTCATGTTGATATATGTGCATCCTGTGAGGATTACCTCGATATAACCTTAAGTCACAAACTTTTTAAGCAAAGATGGATAGTGGCTAGCAGTGGAATCCAGGAGGCGCGCGTTTCGTCCCCTTTAGGAATCGTCATTTGGGTGTACCTGCATCCCAGAGTTGGTGTTCTCTCAGGGACTCGAACCCAGTATCTTTCGCTTTGGGTTACAGTATGCACATATGCCAACAAGAGACTGATCGATTGCAGTCCTAAATAACAATTCGAGGATACAACTAAGACAACAGCTATTGGATTTAAACTTCATCACATTGCACAAGAAGGTGGCTATCAGGACTCAGTATCTAAGTGGATAACATGAAGGCGTTTGAAGTGAACGCTACGGGGTTCAAGTCCCGGAGTGAACATCAACTTCGGGATCCAGGTATATCCAGCTGACGAGTCCCAAATAGGACGAAACACGCTTCCTACATTCCACTGCTAGTCACTATCCATCATGTTTCTATCTTCCCTTTCTATCAAAATATTGATTGTATATTTTTTTCAAAATTAAACCTAATGAAGTTTATACAAATGCTTCACCCTACTTCTTTCTTTGATTTAATTATAAATCTTTGGATAATTTCATTTCCAAACTGTAAAATCAAAATGTGTTTGATTTTTCTTTCAGACGCAAGATTGTTTTGATTTTTTTCAACTAATAGTCTGATGTATTTCTTGAGTTAAGTTAAACAAATGTCTGATAAAAGAAAAACTTGGTTACTTTTGTTTGATTGTCAGATTTGTTTATCCTTATGACTGAAAAAAAAGATCCCCGGTAAGGAAACAATCAGATGAATTTAATTCATTAACACTACAAAAAAGAAAACAAAAAAAATTACTGTACAACTTAATATTCCTTTCAGTTATGTACTTTTATTAGACGTTTTAATGTATTACAGATAGGCTTTAATTTGAAGAATACATTTTATATGAAGAACATTATGAATTAGGTAAATGCAAGAAGAATTTGTTTAAATTCATTTTTGAAATCTAGGTAACTTATTTTTAAACGCATTCAAATGCTATAAAAACATGGATTGGTAATTACCATGAACAAAGTTAAATCAATAAAACATGACATACAAGTTCAAGAAATGATTTATTTTTTTAAACTTTATTTCATTTTGCTTAGTTACAATGTTTATTGTCTATTATAGTGTAACATGCTGTTTCACAAATTTGTTTTCTTCTCCTTTTTTAAGAACAGATTGGAATGTAAAGTTGTCGTTATCTAAGATACATTTTCACTACATTTTTGAAAAAAAGGATTTTATATGAAATCATAGCTTTCCATTATCAAGCACATGAGTACGTAATAAGATTTCAAATGAAGATTTACAATTAGAACAAATTAACAAACATTATTGTCAACCCCTGATTTTATAAATAAAGTCATGATATCGTAAAAACGTTAAATGAAAGATATAACTTTTTTTTCCTGAGAGCACTCAAGAGTTCACTTTTTCATTGTAATTAAAAGACTAAAGAGGGTAATGTTTAGTTTAAGTTCAGGTGAAAAAATCAAAATGCGTATTCTTGAAATCAACTGTTTATATGCAATTCTCATTCAATAAATATGAGCCATACTTTTTCATCTATCCTATGTCAGTAATTTGACTGATTAAAAAACCCTATTTTTTAGAAATACTAATTCTTCTAGACGAATAATACCGCTGTTAATAATTTCCCATCAGTTTCTTATTATTATTAATAGCTTTATTGAATATTATATTTTTGGTACAATATAGAATTCTCACCATAATGTATTTCAACAAGTTCCCGTTTCTTATTTCTTTGTTGATCTTAACAATAAACATTCAAGTTTCTCCAGTTATATGTTAGTAGTTCAGAAATCGATATCTGAATAATGTTCATACTGTTCAATAATCTACTGTCAACCATCACGATATCAATGACTGTAGTTTATTGTAACTTGTACAGCTAAGGGGCGTAA